ACCACTAACAAACCAGTCCATCCCCTTACCTCCTTGAATAAGGATTAAGTAATTTAAAACAGTACAGTGAAACAAGATTTAGTCTTAGAAATCAGTAAGAGAACACACATACGAATAGGAAATGAAAAATGAATACTTAATTGCATCAAAAGGCATAATACTACAGCTCAGTGGAAATTTTTGATACAAGGAAGATTGACAAAATGGCTAACTAGAGTGCCGCGTCTAAAATTAATGAAGATCTTACCTTGCTTTTTTAATTTTAGTTTTTGCAAGTTCAGTGTTAAAACACTGGTGAAGTTTTCATACTTTTGTCACCAGGGTCATGAATCAAATGAAGACCATAAAATACTTGAATATTTTGACCATTTTGGAACTAGAAAGGAAAAACTGTGAATAAACTGTTACCTGTTGTTGTTAGTAGGAGGTATGAAGTTGCATGGGAATTGTTTTGAGTGACCACTAATTAATAACCGTCCAGTTCAGAAGACATGCCTACCACAAACAATTTTTTTTCCCTGTAGTAAATTTAGTGACAGGATATTCAGATTAGGTTTCTCTTTCTTAGACTGAATAGCAATTTAAATTGAAAACATTGCCCACTTGAGCAAAAAAGATCAGGTCTTAATGGAATAATATCAACATCTCTGATATGACAGAAAATTTTTAGCACACAGACACAACTATCTGCCACACAAAGGATCTCCCACAGAACAATTTTAACAACTACCTCTCCCTTATTTTTAACACTTTCTCTTTGATATTCAAAATGGATACTTCTAAACTCAGTTTTAACACATCTTAACTTGCTGACTGGGAGTGAACCAAAGGACAAAATAAAGTGCATATCGGAGAAATCCTCTGTTGTACACAAGGAAGCTCAGAAGAATAAGCTTTACATGATTAAGGTCAGGCCTGGGTTGTAGTACAGCTACAACCCAGGCCTATTCATAATTTTGAAACTTTATTTATTCTGCAAAAGAAAGGTTGACTTTGACATCCTATCACTGCCTTGAACAAGGAATAATGGGTGTCACCAAGGTAAGAAGGAAAAACTCATTATTCATTTAGCCACTGTAGTTTTAAAATCCATGGTAGGCAAAGGGCAAACAAAAAGATTTGACATGTTAGAAATATGACAGGCCCTTTTATTGCTTGACATTCAACTTAACTTCTTCATGACAGGCCTGCCAAGCAAGAGCAACCAGAGCCTGAAGATACAGTAACACATCCACAGAGTGTAAGTCAGTTCCGTTGTTTTCTCTAGTGCCCTTTGCCAATAACACTATAAGCGAAGGCTCAGATGACATCAACAAGTCACTGCAGTCTCCTAAAAAACTATCCTCTATGCCGAAACTTCCGATAATCTCTTTAAATCTCCAGATTCAGTTTGAAAGCATATACCTAGAGAGATGCGGAAGTGGGAGACTGTTTTGTCCGTTTGTAAGTAGCATTGGTTTTGGCTGTTTAAAAATCTGTGTAATAAACACTACAAAATTAAATACTTAATCCTGCAAAAAAAGCTTCCCCTCTTGACAGATGCCAGGCATTGTATACCCTACAGTCACTTTAGAAACCACTCAGAAGGATGTCAGCAATACTGTACAATGGTTTATGACAGTATCCAACTCTGAAAAGTAGGGGAATTGGGCAAGCCAGAATGCGGTTGACCATGTTGGAAACTGGCTGAGACATTATGGTTCACATATCTCACCTTATAAAATACTCCATGGGATCTTTGAACAACTAAAAGTGCTAGGAATTTGGGTTTAATAAAAGAAAAATTAGCTCACAAATACTGGTTACAGAATGCACGACTGCATGAGGGGGAACCCTGCAAGGTTGGCTTGTGATAGCTGTCTTTCCCAACAGAGGCATATGAGGGAGAAAACAGCTTGGGCTCTGGAAAAAATGAATCATTCCAGAGGAAAAGCTACCAAGGAAGGCTGGGTAGTCAAAGAGAAAAGCTTTCTACAAAGAAGCAAAAAGACCATCCAGCACCATAAAACACGTTACAAGCTCAGGAAAAGCTAGGCACAAACCAAGGCCTGACTCCCTACTACATTTCCCACTTAGTGGTGTGGAAACACATGCAAAAGCCCTCCTAAAGAAAGCTTGAATGTATACAGCTGTCAAACACAAATACTATTCCATCTATTTTGAAGAACAATCATTGTTAAAGCTTTTTCCCCTCCTTTCAGGAAGTTAGCATTACTTAGGTTGGTCAAGCAACATTTACAGCCCTTTACACACTAGCAATATCATGCTATGAATGTCTCCCCCAAAATTAATATCACCTCCTCAAAGCCACCCAGCACTTTATTTGTATAAAGAAGAAATCAGACCTTCTCCAAAATCTTTATAGGAGAAGCGCATGTCACAGCTCCTGGCAAAGTTTGCCTGTCCCTGTGCTTAAGGACCCACAGTGCACCTTGATTCCTTCTTTTTCTAAGAACTATCAACCTACCATACATGGAAATTGCTTCACCCATTTGCTGTGGAGGGTGAAGAGCACCAGCTCATGCTGCACATACTCTCTCCCTTATCCTCATCTCCTTCATGCTCTAGATGAGGGGATCTGTGACAATTTCGATACCCCAGCACTGGCAAGATGGGCAAAAGTGGCAGTGGCACTGCAGAGTTGGAATTGTTCGAATTATAATTGGTCTAAATTGCGTCAGGATACCACCCGGGAACGAAGATAAAACAATGTTATCAGTGTTTATGATGCTGGGATTATGTAGAGCTAGAATACCACTACTTATACAGTGCTAGCATGTCACTCCATAATTGTGTATCTGGAGACAGACTCATTCCTTTTTCAGGTCCTCTCTCCAAAATCATAGAATCATAGAAGGATTTAGGTTGGAAGGGACTTTAAAGATCATCTGGTCCAACCCTCCTGCCACGGGCAAGGACACCTTCCACCAGACCAGGTTGCTCAAAGCCCCATCCAGCCTGGCCTTGGACACTGCCAGGGAGGGGCATCCACATGTTTCCCCTTTTCCAGTCATCAAACATCAGCATCACTTGTTTGTTATAATATTGACTCCTAACAAACATTTATTCTTGTCAATGGGGAAGAAATAGGTAAATTGGGAGGAAAGAGGAACTCAGATAAATCCATAAAACTGCTTAATAGGTGGGTTCTAGGCTGACTACAAGCAAGTTTTGCCCAGGAATGTTGGATGATCCCAGGATCAGGAGATTCATATCTTCTACTGTTCTCTCACCATAGGGGGCCGGTTAGCTCAGCAGGGGGCCGGTCAGCACAGTCAGCTGAGCGTGGTGCTGAGGTCACGGGTTCGATCCCCATTTGGTCCCCATGTGTTGCCTGATCTAGTTGAGAGGTGTCCCTGCCCATGACAGGGAGGTTGGATTAGATGATCTCTAAGGTTCCTTCCAGCCTAGGCCATTCTATCATAGAATCATAGAATCATAGAACGGCCTAGGCTGGAAGAGGCCTTAGAGATCACCTAATCCAACCTCCCTGTCATGGGCAGGGATGCCTCTCAACTAGATCATGATACTCAAGGCTCCGTCCAGTTCGGCCTTGAACACCTTCAGGAAGGGGGCAGCCACAACATCTCTGGGCAATTTATTCCAGAGTCTTGCCACCCTCGTACTGAAGAATTTCTTCCTAAGGTCCAGTCTAAATCTCTTCTCCTTCAACTTAAACCCATTTCCCCTTGTCCTATCACTGGCGACTCTTGTAAAAAGTCCCTCCCCAGCCTTCCTGTAGGTTCCCTTCAGGTATTGGAAGGCAGCTGTTAAGTCCCCCTGAAGTCTTCTCTTTTCAAGACTGAACAATCCCAGCTCCTGCAGCCTGTCCTCGTAGCAGAGGTGCTCCAGCCCCTGGAACATCTTTGTGGCCCTCCTCTGATTTTAGGAAGCAGTTGCGCCTCACAGCTGTAGTTCTTGTTGTGAAGGTAACATATAGGGTCTGGCTGACCCTGTGGACTTCAAGCCAGGTCATGGTAAAGTTACGCAGTGGAACTGCCACAGTGGTAGGTATCAATTAAAAGAATATATAGCACCCTTCACAAAAACTTAACAGCCCAAATTATGGTTCATATACAACACATTGCTACTTTACTGACCACTGACATCATTCATGGCTTTTTGGTTCATGCATATTCTGTAGACACACACAAATATACTGTAGGGTTAGCACAGTCCTGATGTTTTCTCAGGTTTTCTCGTAATATTGAAAACTGTATAGCTGCATATAATGTAGCATATACTTGGTGACTCAGTCACCATGAACAAATATATCTCACTAAAGAACAATACCGCAAACAAGCTTTTATCTCAACTCTTCATGCCTTAACAGAACGTAAGAGAAGACATTTTGAGTGGCTCAGATTTCTGCAGCTTTTTTTATTCAGAAATCTTCATGTGACATAGCAGTATTAGGTCCCCGTTTGACAGAGTATCAGGTTGACTCGTATCAGGTTAAACTCTCCTTCAGGTTCAGAACAAAATACCCTGACATGTTGCCACAAAGAGTTAGAGTGGCAAATTCCCTGGATTATAAAACATCTGTTGAAAAGCAGTTCTCTCTCTAAGGCCCAAGCATTATGTTTCTATGCCTCTTAGTCTCTTGCTTCTTTCTGTGTATATGCTACACATTTCTCTGCAGTTTGGTCTCTGATACTGCAGACTGTACTGCCCCTGCAAGTTATCCTAGAATCTCAAATTTATATGGTATCAGAATATAGATTTGTGGATTTAACTCACTTTCCAAAAAGTCTTACTGTAAGAGCAAGTGAAAGGAAGGATAATTTTAGGAAAATACCACACACTCTCTGCTGCATTACAGTTTTGAGAGGAGGAAAGATGACAGGCTTTTCATCTATGTCATTGCTCTCTAAGACTGGCAATTACAATGCAATCTCTCATCTGTACAGGTCTTTTGTGAACTGGCACGCGACTCATTTGTCAAATAAAGCACACTATGTCTCGATCAGTTGCAACTGCCATAAAAATAGTGCTCATACCTACATTCATTTGCTGCAAGCAGATGGTTGATTGCTTTTCTGTCCTTCTGTGTTGCAGTCCTCTTCCCTTAGATCCTGTCTTTGCAGAGAATGACATGCTGGGAGGTCAGTTTTCTGACAAGGTCATCTGCCTTCAGAGTATGAAGAGAACTGCACGGAAAGTGGGTTGGGCTATATTTAGAGTTTGGTCCAACTCCGTGCCAAGGTCCCCCCACTGTCTGTCTCTTGCAGCACCGTCTCAGGTCTATTCTTGCAGATTCTCAGCCCACAGAACACACGAGGAGAGGAAAGTCACTCTGAGCTACTATTGGATCAGGGCTTTTGCAATCTGCTAAAAACAAGTGGATCAGGAGCTCAGATGAGGACTCCTTAAATCCCTCACTCTTCTAGCATTTATTTTTCTTTATTCCAGTGGGATTTTCTCTTATCAAGCAAACAAGGAGAGGACACTGCCTGGGATACAGCAAAAATAGTCTCCTGATCTAAGGTAAGATTGCTTCATTTTCGTATTGTCATCAAAATTAGAGTCCAATTGATGGTGACTTGAATCAGATGTGATCTTTTCTGCTAGACCAATTCTGCATGTCAGCATTAAGGGATTTTTTTGGATAATGAAATTCTCCATTACAAAACATCAATTTTCATTATCACTGTCTAAAGGAAATGGGAAAATAAAAGGATATCAGCATGTGCAATAGAATATACATTGTCTAATTCTACCTGTTCAAATTAATGAAAAATGCATACAGCTACGCCAATAGACTATCACTCTGAAAGTAAGAGAAAAACAGATGTATGACTATATGCATAATGACTACCTATATAGATGTGCATTTAGATATGCTGAGTGATGCTTTATCCACGTTATTTGGTACAATATGAAAAAGTATGGCTTCAGGATTGCAATACAGGGCTTGCTGCAAATAGCACAGATATAAAAAACATTAAATAGATGAACACATACTCATATCCCTTTACAGCTCCAAAAAAGTTGCTCAGCTTCTGATGAAGTAAAGGCAGGATTACAGATCAAATTGAACTTGGTCTCCTTTACACTGGTCCTGCATTGCTTCTCTTTTTAAAACCACATATGACTGAACAGTTTTCCTCAGCACAACTTTCAACTGTTGTGATTCGTAAGGGGGGAAGAAACCTGGACAGAGAACAGCATGACGTGCCTGTCTGTAAGGAGATCTTAACACACTACAGGTCACACAGGCATCATGATACTGTGGTGTGGACTCCAACATGAAGAGACTGTTAGCGCATAAAGACACTCTGGAGCCATGAGTTTAGCGCTGGCACACACACACATACATAGCTTTCTACAAGGCAAACATGCAGGACTGGTAATCTGAAGAAATAGAGTAGAAAGGTCCACCTGACTCCAAAGTCCAAACACCAAGGCAACAGCATCAAGTTCTTCATAACAGAAGCAGCACATTAAAGCCTCAGCAGAAACATCTGAAGAAAGGCAGATGGATTCTAGATTAATAGCAAGAAAAGGGTGAAAGGGGTCACTGAGTCACTGGGAGTTCATCTAAGCCAGGATGACTAGGTAAATTCCTGCACTTAGGTTGGGTCTTTTCTTAACATATCTACTGGTTAAAAACACCATACATCAGGCTGAAAAAGTAACAGATTACAAGGTGGCAAGAGTTGAAGATATTTCTCTTCTTGGTTGCTCTTAACTCCATACACGATCATTTTGTCTTCCTTTCCTTCTGATCTTTGTTTGGTAATTTATATGTTCACACTCACGAGCATTAAGTTTATTTGGAGGATGGAATAAACACCATCCATGTCACAGAAAATATCATTCTTAAACAAATGATAAGGCAACATGCCATGGAGTCAATTTGGGCTGTGATGTGATAATTCAGATTAATTCAGGTTTCTATTGCAGGAAGTCAAAAAAGTGGCTGTTATGGGAGGGTTACTTGAGTACTGCAAATGCATTCATCAAGATCATCAGCAAGTAAAAAGATCCACAGTATAAAAGCAACTATAGCAGCCTAAGACTGGCAACAACCTTTTAGAAACAGTTGTTACACACTCATAGAAAAGAGGAGAGAAATACACCTCTATAGATTTTAAGTGGTCAGGTTATGTCTAAGGTTATTGCTTAATGAACCAACTTAGTTTTTGTCACTGTAGCACCTATTCTCCATTGGTATGCGGGAAAATGTTATTTCCCCATCAATGTCAAAGGCATTGAGGGGGTGGGAGCTCACTTAAAATAAAGCAGTATGAGTGTGACTGTAGCCTACAAAACCAGCAGTTCACAAAGAACCTCCTGGCAGAAAGGCAGCAGCTTTGCCACATCCCAGTCGCAGCCAGGGACTGGCTTGTTTTGAAGGGAGGGTCATCACATCTTCCCCAGAGAAGCTGAGCGTAAAAGGTCTCCATTCCCAAACCAGTGGGAGGTTTGCTGGCATACAGATGACAGGATGACATCAATGGAAAAGGGTAGTACCACTGTGATGATAAATATGAGCACGGCGTAAGTGGAAGAAGTCATTGAGAAACACATCTGAGTGAACAGGCCTCGTATCTTAACACAGAGAAACCTAAATCTGCTTCTTTGGTTCCACAAAAACATTAGGAAAACCTTTTTCACTGTGAGGGTGACAGAGCACTGGCACAGGCTGCCCAGGGAGGTTGTGGAGTCTCCTTCTCTGGAGACATTCAGAACATGCTTGGATGCATTCCTGTGTCACCTACTGTGGGTGATCCTGCTCTGGGCAGAGGGGCTGGACTAGATGATCTTTTGAGGTCTCCTCCAACCCCTAACATGCTGTGATTCTGTGATTCTAATCTCTTTCTGGTTGGGGGTCAATCCTCCTCTTCCTATTCTCTCCACTCCATTATAAACTTGCAGCACCAGCATAAGCTCATTTAATCTTGCTAAGATGTGACCTCCAATGGGCACAATGTGCCCGTCTTAGTGGAGATCATCACAGAAGGGAAAAAAAGAAGAAAAAAATAAAATTAAAAGGAGGAAATTATCTTTATCTCCTCCCCTAATGCAGAAAACAAAGATTGAACCCCTTTGTTTCTATTAATGAGGCTCAGATGGGGGTGAAATTCACTTTCCTTTCTGGGGGTGGAAGGGCATGGCTCTATGTGTTGACTAACTTTGTGCCTAAGGTTGTGGATGAGGAGGAAGACAAGGCTTGGCTGATGATATATGCTGCCAGCTGGCCAGGCAAATCTCCAAGTGGATATTCACGAACTTCTGCCCACTGGCACTGTCACCCTCAGCTGACAGGTGTAAGCAAGGCCAGAGCCAGATGGCTAAATCTAGACAGCACCAGGGGATGAGTACGTCCCACTAGCAGTCAGATCTCCACTACTGCTCACTGTATTTGTATATATATGTTCCAAACAGCATATGGTACTGGGATTTTCCTCCCTCCCTGCTAACCCTCAGATAGAAACAAGTTGGGGTTTTGAGGGTAGACAAGGTGTATCTCAACTCATCCTGACACAAGCACCCGTAGCAAGAGGCCCTGTCAGACACTACACCATCATTGGCACATGGCTCTGGAGTCGTGCAGTGGGTACTGAGACCCACCACCACCCACCACTCATCACTGCGCAGCTGGTGCTGCAACCAGCATCCAGGGAGGGACACCTAAAAGAGGATGGAAGAGACTATGAGAAGAGGGAACGTAGCACCTAAAAAGCCAGTCCAAGAGTGTTTAGATACAGTTCTCTGTGTGTATTTCTGTGTGAGCAGGTAACATGGTAGTTGATATGAAAATATCATAGAAATTTCTGCAGAGAAAATCTCTTTCCAAACCTCTCATGGCTATTGTCATGGACATACTTTTCCAGGAAAGAAGTGACAGAGGATGATGTGCTGACATGTGCTGCATAGGAAAGAGAGATACTTAGGGACATAGAAAAATCATAAGGCTATAGTTAAACAAATAGTTAATTTAATAATTGTAGTCATTCTGCTAAAGAATATTTACCCTTGAGACTTACTAGTAACAGGGAAGTTGAAGGAAAGCAAAGTTCATACCTGCTACAAGTCACATAGCCCCAAGCTTTGTCTGACCTGTTTTCACAAATCCATCTCCCAGAAACAGGAGGAAAAAAACACAGCAAAACTTTTCCATAGGGTCCTCTGCTGTATTTTGCTCTCTGTACACCAGAGGCATAGTGGTATCCTGCTGCAGAGAACAGTCTGCTCTGAGGTGATAAACAGTCTCAGCAGTCTACATTTTCTTTCAGTCTGACACACTGTTGGGACTAAAGGAAAGCTCTCCAACACTGGTTTACACATTGTGCATTAGAAACCATTACTTTAAATGGTGGCAAGATCACTGTTGTCTACCCAAAGCACAGTAAAGCTTCATGCTCACTTCCAAGGAAAATAAGGAAGAGAAAAAAAAATATCCACTTGAACATCTGGGTACTCTACAGGCCTCCAGTACCATGCTGCTTTGCAGCTGCAATTGCCAGCCTAAACTGGTGAAAACTGCAGGAAAACCACCTTATTTCAGTGATTATTCAGGATTGGTACAGAACAACACAAGATAAGGTCTGTTGAGCACAGCCTTCTCATGAAAACAGGAACCTGGGGTCTTCTCAGGACAGGAGAAGAGGAAACAAAAGGAGTGGCCTGACCTGACCTCAGACGCTGACCACCAGTGCAACTGGGGACACGGCGGATGGAGTGTGCTTTTCCCTGGTCACATCTGCATCTCTCTCTTGCAGTCATACAAATGCACATATATAGGTACACAGCTGCGTAGACATGATAAAGTTGCAGGGAGTGGAGACCCACTGTCTATCCATTAACAGCAAAATACTATTTAGGCTAAGATGAAGCACCTTTTTTGAAAAATGCATTTATTTTGTACTGTTATTTTGGGGCCGGTTAGCTCAGTCAGTTGAGCGTAGCGCTAAGAACACTAAGAACGCTAAGGTCGCGGGTTCGGTTCCCCATGTGTTGCCTGATGTAGTCCAGAGGTGGCGTCCCTGGCGGCAGGGAGGCTGGATTAAAATGATCTCTAAGGTCCCTTCCAGCTCAGGCCATTCTATGATTCTATGATTCTATGAAATGGAGAGCAACTATGAGCGCTT